CGGAAAACCTAGGCCGCGCACGAGCCAAACGACCGCAAGTGGTCGTGCCGTAATATAGAGGTATATATAAATATATATTTAGCTATATTCTAGTGGTTTCCACATATGATGGTTCCAGATTTTTTCTTTAGTTATACAGAATTCATCATCCTCCTAAATTTAGATGAATCGATATCCCGCAACCTTCTTTTATCAGAAATTACGAAGCTTCAAGATCGGTGGTCCGCAAGTAGCATCCGTTTCAACTGCGTTTTGATCTCAAAGGTTTATCCGTTGATTCTCTGCATCATCGTCAACCGTTTTGGCAGGATGATCCAATTTCTGGAGGAGAGACCGCATGGAGGAATAATCTAAAATGAAGTATCCCATGTTGCTGGTTAGAGCATGCTCCACGAAGCAACATCCCTTCGTCCTTCTTAGCAATGGCAAATCGGCATGTCACGTCAAAGATCGTCAAAGCATGACTGAGCTCTGTATTCACTTCTGGCTGATGAACGGGAGCCAGGTTCGGAGACAAAGGACGTTGGTGGGCTGTGGCTTCAAGCCCTATCTGCATGCGTGACAAGGCGACGCGCGGCAGCTGGGGAAGCATTATACCAGCTTTGGACGAGAGACCATTGAGCCTGACTTCATGACTCCGCTACGGCTGATATGTTGGCTTGCGCGCGACAGGAGCAACAGGAGCCCAGCCAAACTCGCACTTGCTGGGGGCACGTGCATGCACGCATCTCTTTTTGATGGTGGAGCCACAATGCATCATGTTGGCACGAATAGAGTTGTGCCACATCTGGGCATCCTCATCCGCCTGTAGCCAGTTCACGGGTGGCAAAGTCTGTTGTCCATTGCCCTGTACAATAGATTGCAAGTCCCATCTCCTTGTTTCCAGGCATGCTGGAAAAGGAGGACTGGGACCATTGCTAGCTTAGGCAAGCTTCCTCACACGTTGCGAGTGGACATGCCAGCAGCTTTCCATCCCATAACACCATCAATCAGAACGTAGGCATCTGCAAACTGGGCGCGCAGTGATTCCCATGCCAGCACACTCCTTACTTCTTCACCCCTCACAAATTGGCATTCAATCGCAACCGACAGATAGAAATGTCCAAAGCTAGTCAGCCATTGTGAAAGGTGACAGGGTTGCGTGCATTGGGAAGCCGAGTCACTTGTTCCCGCGGAAACAGGTGAGGATAACCTTCTTGCCTTTCATCAGTGGTGGGGGTGCGCCTCCTGCCCAGTCATCCAGAGGCACCAATGTAGCAGCCTGCAGGTAACTGCGCTCAAAGCAAAGCCCATCCAAGGGGCTAACAATGTAGGGACCTCGGCTCCTCGAGTATTGAGCCACGGGTGGGTCTGAGATGCATCTTCCAACATCGAATCTTATGGCATCACTGGAGCCCCAAAAAGTTATTAATGCCCTTGTTTTCATTCTGACTCGTTTGTACTCACCCATTGCTTTATGTTGGCTTTACCAAAAGGAATGCCAAGGGGTAACGGAGACAAGATGTGCATGAAAGGGAGCACTTTTCTCTGTAATTGCCTTGGGCAACTCGCCCCCAGTCTGCTCCAGGACCTGCTCGCGGGTGCGAACGTCAATCAGGACTGCTCCATCCTTGCACACCGCGTGACTCGCAGTGTTGCTAGTTCAAACCTCTACGTTCAAAACTCCAA